CTGCCCTAATCATATAGCAATGTACCTCTGATTTTAAAGAGACAATAAAAATATGTCAAAGAGACAATAACTATTTAAAATAAAATTAATAATATAATTTAAGCTTCCAACAATTTAAAAATATCGTGTGACAGTTTGTAAAAATTCCCACTTGTTTTTTAGTTACTAAAGAGATAATATAATTATACATATAAACATATAAAAAGCACGCCATAAAAACCTTGTGTGATAGTTGTTTTACATTCTCATATATCCGGTATATGCGCCTTTTGTTGAAAAGTTGATTAAATAATTTATTTGATGCTTTGCATGCATGGTCCATGCAAATTTCATTAAAAACTGATTTCCTATGAAAATTCAATCAACAAAAGTCGCCATGCAAAAACCAAAAAAATAAAATAAAAAGTAAAAACAAAATCAAACCATAGAGGAATAAATTGTTACTGAACAACAAACTGGTTAAAAGGCGAAAAGTGCAAACCGCAATTAATTAAATCCGCAGTTAATTTTATTGTCAGCGGAAGTGGCAGCGGCAAAATGACGCAAATGAAATTATCGGCGATGACGGGCATGAAAAAAATGTGTCATCCTTTCTGGAAAATATACACGGGTTTATCACAAACCATTTTAAATCTACTGAGAAACAAGCTTTATGGTATTTCGTTATTTTAATTGCATTTTTCGAAATTTGTTCAAATTGTTTTAAAAAATAACAATGTGAAAAATATTAAAAAGTGTTGTGCAATGACCTAGTTTGGTGTAATTAAACTATATACATATATCCTTCGAACCGCCTGAAGAAATATTTTTTTGAAAGGTCGCTAATATTAGCATAAGGAATATATAAGAAAATAATTCTTATAAATATATGTAAGTTAGTAATTAGATCTACGGCAAGCTATAATTAGAACTATCGTAAATAGTTATGGAGCGCTACTTTTCGGAAATATATCTTTTATCTCATATATGTAATCGTTATAATCTTATGACTTTGGCAGGAAGTTTAAATTAAATTGTAATTTTATGTTTTAGTAATGTGTAAATTTACTAATTGTAGATAAATGTATAATAATGAATTCATGTCCACTTGGAGGCAGTGTCAGCAAAGGTAGCTTGCGGTGCCGTTGAAAAATGAACACTTTGCTCAGCGCCTTTGGTTGGAAAAGTTATTGAATTGAGATGCAATGCCCCAGACTAGGATTCGAATACACCAACTGGGGACTGCACATTGAAAAGGAGACAACTAGGTGTTGTCATTCAAAATGAGCACTTATTGTTTTTGAATACTTTTTTTAAATACTTAAAATAAAGTAATTCGCCATTGATTATTTATATTTATTGTTATTTAATGCCTTTCCTTTAAATACTTAAAATAAAGTAATTGTCCATTGATGAAGTATTTTCACTATTACAAATAAATTTTACCGATTGTTGTGAATTCTTTCTAACACTTTTATGTAAAGTTTTTCTTTTGATCCGCATCGGTTTTTACATGACTGTAATTAATTTATTATAGGACTTGCGTGAGGCACTCTGGTTGCATGCTACCTTCCACTTCAGAGTTGCATGCAAATTATTGCAAGTTGAGCATGTCCCAAAATTGTATTCTCCAGCTGCAAGTACAACTCATAATCGACAAAATTCGCGTGCTGGCTCTCAACTTACAAGCGCTACAAGTTTTGCTGCAAGACTCAAAACTTTTCGACAGCCTTCTGGACTCGGTGGCAAGTTAGACTTGGCGCGTTGCATGCCAAGCAAAGTTGCAGCCTGTTCTTTGACCTTCATGGTAGTTTGGCCTCCGCTCTCGGCTGTCCGTGGAAACGGCTGCACTATTATTACGGAGCTTGTTCAAGTAGCAACATGTTCTTGGGTGTCCTTTGATGCATATTTAAGTCAGGTGTGGAAATTCTTTTTGAGGCATTCATGTCTTCTGGTCTCCTTATTTGTGAATGTATCACTTTGAGCAGACATGGCTGCTACATTCAAAACCTGCTCAATGGTTTTTCTTTTTCAATGTTCGCCATATTCTATTTATTAACATCGGCGTGCACATTTAAAACTTAACTCTAACGAAATACAACCTTCTGCCGCCGACCACACTCGAGTCCTTTGAGCTACCGCACACCTTTCACCAAAATGCCAAAGAGCGCATTGGCTTAATTTGTATGAATGCCGAAATGTAAAGTGCCAGAAAAAAATGTATATACATATTTGTGTATGTACAAATATATATAAAACTGAAAGCGCAAATGGAATATCTAATTAAATTTTTGACTGCAAATGAACAAAGTTGCCTGCACCACCGCAAAGCTGCGAAAGGAGCAGACAGACTATTCTGGCAGTTAACTGTTAACTACCAGCTACCAACTGCCAGTTTAATTAACTTGGCTTATAAAATTTTATGCCAGCTCGCAGTGCGCATAGCAAAACATTATCTATGCGATGTAATAGTTGGCCATAAAGGTTGTCTATGCAAATATGTTGCAATATCTCTGTTGCCACTCAATTGCCGTTGGCTTTAATGGAAACTTCCCCCTTATCGCTTTGAGGGTTGCTATCCTCCCGCACTGCGCGCATAAATCAAGAGTGAAATTTTTACACGCGCCAAACTGTCTGTGAAAATTTCATTTCCATGTACCGCGACATGTATGTACATATCCCAACTTTTCAGCTACCCGGCTTACCGACTCTTGCCCTGAAAAGGCGAAATTGAAGGGTCACAGCAACACGTTTTTAATTGTTTTTTGAGGTTTTTCGGACAATATTCAAAGGGAGTAATTTAAATTCCAGTTTGTAGCCTGCGGCGGTATTTTTGACTGGATCCTTTGTTGCAGACAGCTTTCAAACATACATGAAAATGTGCCGTTGTATTTTTTCAGTTTTTAAAAATTTAAATGTTATGAATCATGTTTTGATAATACAAATAATATAGCCAACGTTTATTTATTGCAAAAAATAATTGAATTACTTTTATGAAAAGTTGCAAAGCTTAGGTACACGTTAAATATCGCTATGCCTGTTTCCTGGTAGCATCTAATGTGCATTTTACAAAGCCTATTAACATATTTGCCAGCGTGTTTAACAGCTAAACCCTGTCCATGCTCTGCCCACCAATCAACCAGGGTGAGGGTCCGATGTCGGACTTTGTTGGTGGTCACGTTTCGAAGTCCATAACAAGACAGCCTTGCATAATTGCGCCGCCAAGAGCAGGTCCGCAGTTCTACTACCTCATCTCATAAATAACCCAACAGACATACAACCACACTTACAAAACACTCCCATTTAAATATATATGTATGGGTAATATGTTGTTTAACTTTTTGTCTAGCATGGCTATTATGCAAATGGTACTTTGTTTTAACTGCGGTTGGGCTGATGGCTACGGCTGAGACTGAAGCTGAGCCTGACATAAGTTCGTCACCAGCATTGCTAACTGACTCGACTCTCCACTTTGGGCGGCCCTTAGCCGCATTACGAGGACAATTAATATGCCAAGTGTTATGTGTGCGCATATAATGACTTTTTCCAGTGGCCGGGCCCCATTTCGCCCAGCTGCATCTGCATCGTACTTGTGCCGAGCTCATCTGTCAACTGTGGCCATCTATCAATAAACGTTCAACTGCCCGACTAAACGGCGCAGCCGCAACTGCCCTCCCCCACACACACAAAACACACACACATCCATTAAATTTTATAGTCGTGGGCTGGCTACTTGAGCCATGACCAGATATATGACTCACTACTAAGCGAGACACGCGCGGTTTCAGCGTTGTTTGGCCAACATTAATCTGTCTCACAATTGTTGAACAAAAAGTCATGTCTGGTTACCGTGAATGTGGCGCTGCTTAGGTTATTTAAAAATATTTTTACCTCTTAAGTGCACTTAAAGTTTTACGAGCACCTAAACCAAAGTATTAGGGCTGTATGTTCTTTGTAGTTCTGCTCCTTTACAGTTTCTAAGCAGTAGAAAAAAGTATGAAAATTAAACTATTTACCTCCTTCAATTGAATCATCTGTTGGCTAACCCTATAGTCGTATATGTCTCTACTTTTTCATAACCCAATAAAATACACAGAAACTCCTCTAAACCGACTGTACAAGCAGCCAGCAGTGTATTGACCAGGCCAACCACGTAAACGGTGTAAATGTAAACGGTTCAGCAGTGTTGGTAGTCGCTCCACGACTAAAACAAAAATTGTCAGCACTGTAAAGCCCAAAATACACACACAAAAACAGTCTGCTATACAAACATAATGCACACATACACAAAAACCCAATAAAATAAATCAAAAGAAAGTAAAATTACGACGCGTCGTTCAATCGAACTGCGAATATACAGCATATAAAAACTTTATTTCAATAAAATCAAAAGCGAGAAAAACTTTCGCTACTTCAGTAGCAAAAACAAAAAAAATATTCATATGTAAAATAACAGAGAATATTTGTACTCGGCGAGGCGAAGATTAAATACGCTTCTTATAACAAAAACCTGTTTCTCTATCAGATATACAGGTATTTGATATACAGGTAGGTAAAACAATTTTTATGAATAACATAATGAAGACTACTGATCTAGAGGCATTGTATAAATTTTTATTTAGCTGTTATGTTAAACTTTTTTATTTTTATTATTTAACCACGAAAAAAAATCTGTAAGCTAAAGCTAACTGTCGTCAGGGTATAAGAAAGGCGTTGAATGGAATTCGTTCAGTTTTGATTTTGTGCTGGGTGAAGTATTATTATCATGGTCAAGCCGGCGGAGCCTACGCATGCGTAGAATACAAATACACGCACACACGCATAAGTGTGGAGATTGGCAAAGTGGACGTGCCACAGGCCAGAACCACTTTTTTTCTGCCGGTTGCTTGTCATGTGAATTTGGGTGAAATGTTTGTCGCTGGCTTTCAAATTCGTGGCTGACTTTTCAGTTTGCAACGAGCCACACGAGTTGGTGGTGTCGCCTAAGCGTAGAGAAAGCCACCACGCAAACTTTTTGTGAAATGTCTTGGAGCTACCTGCCGATCTGCGTGCTGCTGCTGCTGCTCGGATCAGCTGCATCTCAGCAGTACAACACGTCAGCAGATCCCTCGGCGGGCACAACGCCGGCATCGCCACTGCTGAAGCAGTCCCAGAATACGTTTGTACAATGGGTTCTATCACTGTTGCCGCAGCGCCCCGGCTCTGCCCCAGAAACGGCCACAGTGGCCACACTGAGCAGCTCACCGACAGCACCCACTGAGATGCCAGCCGTTGTGACGTCTACAACCACAACCGCGGCCCCCACGACAACCCGAAAAGCAACAACGCCGGCACCTCCGACGTTAAGCCCGCCTCGGAACTGTAGCGATTGCGTCTGCGGGGTTGCCAACATTCAGAAGCGCATTGTAGGCGGTCAGGAGACGGAGGTGCATCAGTATCCCTGGGTTGGCATGTTACTCTATGGTGGACGCTTCTATTGTGCCGGCTCTCTGCTCAACGATCAGTTCCTGCTGACTGCCTCGCACTGCGTCTATGGGTTCCGCAAGGAGCGAATCTCTGTCCGTTTGCTGGAGCACGATCGCAAGATGTCTCATCTGCAAAAGATTGATCGGAAAGTAGCAGAGGTCATCACGCATCCAAAGTACAACGCACGCAACTACGATAATGACATTGCCATCATCAAGCTGGATGAACCTGTGGAGTTCAATGAGCTGCTGCATCCAGTTTGCATGCCCACGCCAGGGCGCAGTTTCAAGGGCGAAATTGGCATTGTCACTGGCTGGGGTGCGCTTAAAGTGGGTGGCCCCACCTCTGATACACTCCAGGTAAGAAACAGCGGCTGATAAGTGAGTCCCTAGGCAGTGCCTACTAAAGATTTCTTACAGGAGGTTCAGGTGCCCATTTTAGCGCAAGACGAGTGCCGCAAGAGTCGTTATGGCAACAAGATCACAGACAATATGCTTTGTGGTGGCTACGATGACGGCGGCAAAGATTCCTGCCAGGGCGACAGCGGCGGTCCCCTACACATTGTGCCCAATGGCACGCGCGAATATCAGATTGCCGGCGTCGTATCTTGGGGCGAGGGCTGCGCCAAGGCTGGTTATCCAGGCGTATATGCGCGAGTGAATCGCTACGGCACCTGGATCAAAAACCTCACTAAACAAGCCTGTCTGTGCCATGCAGAGACCAAGAAGATCAAGTAATTGGTACAGACTTCAGCATTCGTAGTAGTAGTAGTAATGCCCAATAATACACTTGCAGATGGGTTAATACCTATTTAAAATAATTCTCAGCAGCCTTAAACTAAATCAACATTTAACTTATTTTTAATCATGCGCAATAACTATTATTAGACGAAATCCAAGTTTTTATATTCGAAAACTTTTATTTTTTCGTGAAATTTAGAACGAAAAGCAATTGAAAGTTTAGTTTTTTAATATAAAATAAAAAACTAGTTCCTTTCATTTTATTATTATATGTTGCACTTATTATCCCACAAAATCATCAAAATTCATCTAAATTAAAGAAATTTGTTAGTAAATGCATCTGCCAGTGTATTAAAGACTTCGACTATTCGAAGATATTTATATGCTTTTTTCCTTATTTATAAAATAAAAAAAAACACGAATGAAAGACAGCAGCAAAATGTTCATAGAGATTCAGCATTCCAATCAGTACAATGGCAATAACCTTTGGTGGGTCCGGTTTGGTGGCTGGTCTAGCCTGTTCTGCAGCCGGTTGAGGTTCAGGTTCAGTTGCAGGGTTCTTTTAGCTTGGCTTCTTGCTGCCAGTGGCAAGGATGCACCAATTCAGTTGCCAATTGCCAGTTGGCCAGAAAAGTTCGTTGCAGAAATGAGATACATTTGCTTGCTGTCATTGCTGGGCCTCACCCTGGCCACGCCCAGTCTGCGCAGCGCCTCGGAGCCAGCCAAGATTCTGGAGTCTCTAAGCAATTTGCGACAGAACAGCTTCCTCGACTGGATCGTGTCCATAATAGGCCCAGAGTACGCAGCAACTAGTGTGCCCGCCAAGCGGGAGTGTCCAGCCTGTGCTTGCGGCAACATCAATACGCGTCATCGCATCGTTGGTGGCCAGGAGACAGAGGTGCACGAATATCCCTGGATGGCCATGCTCATGTGGTTTGGCAGCTTCTATTGTGGAGCCTCTCTGGTTAACGACCAGTACGCCGTGACGGCGGCACATTGCGTCAATGGCTTCTACCATCGCCTGATCACTGTGCGCCTCTTAGAGCACAATCGCCAGGACAGCAACGTCAAAATTGTGGACAGGCGTGTGGCTCGCGTCCTTGTGCACCCCAGCTATAGCACACAGAACTTCGACAGCGACATTGCCCTGATTCGCTTCAATGAGCCAGTGCGTCTTGGTATTGACATGCATCCCGTTTGCCTGCCGACGCCCACGGAAACGTTTGCTGGCCAAACAGCCGTGGTAACGGGTTGGGGTGCGCTCAGTGAGGGAGGACCCATATCCGATACCCTGCAGGAGGTGGAGGTGCCTATACTGTCACAGCAAGAGTGCCGCGACACCAACTATGGAACAGCCAAGATAACCGACAACATGATTTGTGCCGGTTACGTGGAGCAGGGCGGCAAGGACTCCTGCCAGGGCGACAGCGGTGGACCGATGCATGTCATTGGCGCCAGGCAAACCTATCAACTGGCGGGCATTGTGTCATGGGGCGAGGGCTGCGCCAAGCCGCGATCACCCGGAGTTTACACGCGCGTAAGCAACTTCAACGAATGGATTGAAGCAAACACTCGCGATTCATGCGCCTGCAGCCAGGATAATGAAGCGGCTACACCTGAAGCTGTCAACAGCACTACACAGCAACCAGAGATGGCCACAGCTGAGACCAGTCAAGGTCCAGAAGTGCCCGAAGCCGATGTTCTTTCTTAAAATTTGATTTAGAAGAAAATGTTTTTCGAATAAAGGCAACGTCCACAATAATATGTTTGAGAACCTTCCTTTTGTAACGTAGAAACTCATAAACACACTTTTCTATCCATTTGCAATACTATTAAATACCGTTTTTAAACGACTGTCCAACACTGTCTTTTGACATCTCAATGGATTCATAAGTATAATTTCGTCGCTGCACTGCCTATTCCCATTTAAGAACTTGACTGGGCGATACAGGTAAACTTATATTTGGGCAAAGTCTTTATTAAAAAGCTATATTCAATGAAGTTGGCTTCACAGGAATTATCATGGATTCCCGCACTAAAGTTATTTTTAAGATTGATGAATATATACAAAAATATAAGAAACAATATAAAAAAAATTGCAAAGTCCTTACGCTAGAGCCTAAAGTAATTGGTTGCTTCAGCGTGAGCAGCGAACGCTTCTATAGTTCCGATACAAATGAACTGAAGTTTCTTGTAATACCTGGCCCGGGACTTTTTCCCTTGAATCTTAATAGGCAACTAGTTTCACCTGATGAGCACCAGCATCATGCTGAGTATTTAGATAATATGTTGTACTTTATCAGAGACCATCCCGATAAAATGGTCAAAATGTCTTCGGGTCTTGGTTCTGTAGTGCAGGCGGATATTGTTACTCAGCATGAACTGTTGCAAACCCTGATGCGTACGCCCTACAAGAGTCGGGATTGGAGAATACTAGGAACCAAGTACCGAAATACCATATACTTGTGCTTGGCCAAGCCAAACAATTCGGGAAGGACCCCGGCGGATTTGCAGAGGGAGCGAGCTTGCCAAGTGATGGAGACAAGACTGAAGCGTTTTCTATATTCAGGTGGGACTATCAAAAGCTTACTATATATAAAATGGTTGTAAAGTTTACTCATTGATTGATTTACAGACACACCTGATAGTCTATCCTCATTAAGATCTAATGGCGGCGAGTTCCATGGTGTGTTCAGGTGCAGCATAGGCGGACTCTCTGTGGTCTATGGATCTGCAATGGGTGCGCACTGTAACAAACGAATACAGTGAGTATGTAGTTATATTAACCATTAGTTAATTTCCATCCCTCTATTTTCACAGGGCCTTAAACAAAAACTCAAGCAGATTTGCGGAATGTAAGGTAATTCTTCCACATTCTGATATCCAAAGCTCGAGCTCCAAACCAGATCCAGAAGAAGCTTTAATGTGGTGGTCGGACTGCTATTTGAAGGGTGTTAAGGAAATTTACGTAGCTCGTCCCCAGCCTTCTGGACACGTCCAAAACCTTACCACCTGCTCACTGACTTCACTAATTAGCGATAATGTGAGTAAATACAATTTTAATTTTCGTTGCTTATGTTCTTTTCACTTGCAGATCAACAATTGGTCATGTGACATGTGCATTGAATTTATGCATTATACTCTGCAACAGATTTGCACTGCGATGCAATTAGAGGATCCCAATTCGGTTTACCACTTCGATTATGTGTCGAGTCCAGGCGTACTTATGTTTGACGTAAGTGAAAACCGCAATGCGAACACTTTTATATCTGATTGGTTTCGCTTCACACTGGATAATCCATAAGAAACAACCTTAATATACGATTATATATGAGTGATAAAACAAAAATTCTTTCATTTACAATGCTTGCACATATTGTGCAAGCTGCTGCTTGACTGCTGGCCCAATCCAGTTTTTTTTCAGCAGTTTCAGATCCACATTATCAGGTGTTGGCTACAATGGACCAACTCACACAGGCCACAAAAAACCTGACCCTCAGGTGACGCAGTTGTTATTGTTCTCTCGCTTGTTAACTGGCATCTCGAGCCGCTTCAATTTCCGTCTGTAATCTGCTTGTTTTTTAACTTTGCCCCCGAGGCATTAAACAATTTTTCTGCACGAAATTGGCACTAAATCAAAACAACAGGAATTACTCCAACAAAAAAAAGAGCCCAAAACTCCTACACAACGAGCGATCATGTCCCATTGGGGTCCGGTATGGCAAGGATACTGAAGCATTGATAAATAACTAAATAATAGAATAAACAGCGCAAAAGGTGCTAAAACATTAAAGGCGGCTTTAACGTGCCAGGCCCAAATAAAAGTGAGACCCATAATTCAATAAATTTTAGAGGGGCTTGGTGTGTAAGGGCCTTAAAATTATGGACATCCTCGAGCGAAGTTAGTATTTCGTAGCAGCAACAGACATATTCATTCGAGCTTTTATTCTGATGCTCCTATTGTGAATGGATTGAAATAGGGTATATTGCAGTTGAGCAAATACTTGTAACAGATAGACGTAGATACCTATATCTGTCTGTCTATCTAAATCTGACAAACTTGGCAAACTCTCCATACAAACAAGACTAAGATTTGAGTCTAGGTTCTCGAAATATTAAATTTCGCCGAAAAAAAGGTTTGACTTTTGTAAATCTTTCTGATATAAAATTAATTTAATTAAATAATAATATAAGATAGGTTTTTAAATCAATATTGTGTGCTAGGGCAATCAGCTGGATACAGGGTACCTCTTAGTCAGACACCCTTGATTAGAAAACTTGATTTTTTTTCGAGATTTTTCAAGTATAGCGCAAATTTGCTGCAATTGAGCGCATTTTGTGTTTAGCCGCCAGGAGGTTAAAAAAATTATTGGGGCGTGAAATTGTTTGATTGAATATTAGTGCGGTGCCTTTATAAATTCTTGTTACGTTTACTCTACAGTTGGCTGGCTGAAGGGTCAAAGCCGATTTTTAAATTGCATCAGGAGAAGTATTCTTTGCTTTATAAACACAAATATCTCACGAGTATATATGCAACAAAATACAAATATATGTTTTGTTTGGCATTAGGCTTTAATTCGTCGAAAATGCATCCATTTTTAGTAAAAGAAACGATTATAAAAACTACAATACTTAAGATTTGACTTAAAATGTATCTCGACAGGAAATATATTTAATGCACAGTAATGACAGGCCATGACAATGTATAAGTCAATTCTTCAGGCAAAACCAATCATATGCAATGCACTGCAAACGGTGTTAATTAGGGCAACCGTGGAAACTAAGGCGCCAATGAACATCTTCTCGGCCATGATCAGAACTACGTCAAGTATATTTGCTGCTGGCTAAGAAATCGATGGATTTAAGATCTTAGTTGTGTGTATGTTGTATTGGATTTACCTCTATGAATGTTATCGTGAGGCTCAACGTCCGCTGAGCAATGACTACGCCGAGAGAAACACAAGTGATGAGCGCCATTAGTGTGACTATGGCCAATGCTTCCACCAAGCGGACAGCGACGGGCATCCTCGACACATTAACAATCTGAATATACTCTAAAATTTTAAAATTTCTGTTCGTAAGGTCCAAATGAAAGCAAAGTGACAGCTTAAAGCCGGATAATTTGTTAACTTCGGGGGATATCAACTTAGAAAATATTTGTATAATTCGTTAAGAGGGTATATTGCAGAAAAATATGTCCACGTTTTTTAACTTCGATTTAAGTTACAATAGCTCTTAGCTTTCTTGTTAAACCAATTTGTTCAACAGATTTTTTTAAAACTCATTTTGCCCCTGCACGTGCGAGTAGATAAATTAGCCCACACTGTTTACCAACGGACTGCCACAGAAAAGCCACAAAACCGCCAACAAATTATAGTTTTCAATCGCTTTTTTTACCATTCCATTTCAAGGCATAAACATTTTTCAATATGCAATTCCAATTATCCTATGCAAATGCAATTTGTCTCGCTGCCGAGCAATTTGGATCCCTTCCCAGCACCAAAGCGGCCCGCTTACGCCCCTAACTAGGCCCATTTTGCCCGGCATTGATGTGTCTGCTAGCATAGATTGTTCTGAATTATGGCACTAAATGGCTAGACATGTTACATAATTCATTTAGTCTGAACCAGGGACATTTTCTATGGTAGTCAATAGGCAGTTGGTCTATGCCAGTATATTCAAGTAATATGACAATGGTTTGTTTTTTCATTTTTGGTTAGATCTTTAACTTATATTTATTATGAAAAATTTAATTAGCAGCATACTGGCGAAAAGAGTACAAAAATTAATTGATTTTTATGTTTAGATTTTTTCAAATAATTTATTAAATCATTTCATGAGGCACTCCGGCGGCTATTGACTGAAGCAGCCAGCCGACTGAGTCTGTCTAAGTTGAGTTTTATTAGCCAAGACGCAACACGGAGATTTTCCGGTTTCTGCTCTTGATTTCTTTTTTGCCAACTTCATAAAAATCCTAAAATAAATATTTGCCCACATAAGTTCAGGCGGCGTTCTCGTCGATGTCGCTGTCGCAGTCACAGTCGCCGTCGTTGTTTTCGTCTGGAGACAGACGGCAAAATAAGCGGAAAGTTTTGTCGCAAATCCCCGGCACGGCCCAGCCGCAGGCATTCGGTAGACAGAAAAGAGCAAAACCAAATTAAGCTAGAAAAAAATGTCTGTATCCAGCAGAATTTTAAATACTCTTGTAGAAATTGTGGTTTTGTCAAGATAATTTGAAAAACTAAAAAAGGTGCAAAAGAATGACGGACTTATGCGATTTTTTAATGAAAATATGGGAGACTATTGTGTATAAAAAAAATAAAAAAAAAAAACATGGCTTATATTGAAAAACTGAAAATCGAGATATATTTCCCTGACTTTTTATTGCTCTATAAGTCCGTTTCATATCAACCTTTACAAGGCTACTAATAACAGTATCTATTTTTTTCGTAATATTTAAGTCTCAAATTTGTTACACGCAATATTTACCTGAAATTGTATTTGGTATGTGCTGCCGTAAGAACAATATTTGCACTGCAACATTAAAATTGTGTGGCCAATGGTGCACAAAACCGGAAATGCCACCTGTTATTTGTATACAATATCTCCATATTGGCATAAATATAAGTGCATACATATTTATATGGATGGGACTTTGGCATTGGCGTGCAACAGATTGACAGCTTGTCTGGAAGCTCATGCGTATTTAAACGCTTCAATAAATCGCTTTAACAAATTAAAATTTTTAAAACATGACATTTAAAATTTTTTCAAATATTTACAATATAAACAATATTAAAATTCCCTTTAACGTCTTCAAAAAAAAAAAACAATAGTTGCATTTATTTACAGACATAATGAAAATGTCAAATTTAGCAAATTTATATATTATATGGTTTTATGTATTGAATTATTTAACTCCTTTAAATTATGGTTTTAGTTGTTTTAAATCATTTTCAAAGTTAATCAAAAATTCTGATTATAATAGTTGACAACACATATACTTAATATCAAATTTGGTTTTATTTCCATCATTTAAATTCAGAAACAATATTATCTTTAGGGTATATAAAAACCCATTTATATCTAAGAACTCTAATTGTCAGCGAATTAAAGCTTCTATAGAATTTCTACCGAAATGTTGATGAACTTTATTATTGCATTGAAAATATCTATCATTCAATACTGCACTAAATTAAATTATCTCCTTCAAATATTTTTATTTCCGAAACCCACTGCCACGAAAGGGAGAAAAACAAAATATGAAAATAAAGCTCATTATAATTCCAAACGAGAACCGATCCATTTCAATGTCCATTCTCTTTGGTTCCATTCGGCGCTACTCTGGCTTGTTTTTATTCTTTTGATTTCATTATTGTTTTTATTGCTTCGTATTTTTGTGTGTCCAAGTGACTGAGTTTGCCAAAGCAAAAGGCGCATTTTAATTTCATTATTTCATTTGGTGCCCCACCCCGACAGTGCCCCTCCCAGTGCCGCATGTGGGGTACCCATCCCTATTTTCATTGAAATTCGCATAAAAAGGGTATTAAAGCCGAGACGCTCGTTGATTGTAAACTTTTTGGCACATTTTCAAAGCTGAACACGCCTTGCTACATTTTTTTGAGCTTTTTTTTCTTCTTTGCCTTGATATTACAAATTAATAAAAAAAAATTGTTTCGTATTTAAGCTAGCTACAAATTTGCGAGTTATTGCCGCATCTTGTACTTTTTATGATTTCTGCTCAGCGTTTTCTCGGTTTGTCCTAATGAATCATGGTTATGTGGGCTATAATTTAGTTTTAATAGCACTTTGGTGACATTTATGCTGTCAGCGGCATACAATTTTATTAATGTTCAAATGAGCTCCCATACATGATATCATTATAAAGAGATATCTCAGCTTTTAATGTCAGTTTTGGGGGCTTTGTGCAAATGAACTTATGGCCTCTTTGTGTGTGGCAACCGAGAGTTATGTACTTAAAAACTTAGAAGGCAGAATTTTAGGCATTTTGTGGACTGGTTGCTCAAGTATAAGAAATTGCAATACTAATACTGCACCAAATGAGAAAAGTTATAGCTTAATAACGCGTCATATTGATTTATTATAATGAACATATAAAAAATATATTAATGTGAATGCAATTACATTGAAAGACTTTGTATAAAAACAATAAAAAGATTGCCAATGTCCAACAATAATACACACAGCGTATCTCCTAGCTGAGCATTTTTGTTCTTAGTTTCAGCTTTTAATTGCAATCTTTATAGCACTTTTATTGGACTTCGTTACTTTTAATTTCTTAGAAAGAGTCGGGTTTGGCTCCTTAATAAGCCGCACGGCGACTGCAACACTAACCTAATCATCTGGCTCACTTAAGTAATAAAGCAATTTATCGCTTTTCAATATCCTTTAAGCAATTTTTGCCCTTTTACTTCCTATTATTGCACTTCCTACGCCAGGCCCTCGAGCACAGTGAATGAATAAAGAACCCACACAAATTATTTTCGCGCTGGTTTCATTTTTTTACAGCTCCTCCGTCTTTGGAGGATGCTGCGGCTGTTGTTGGTGCTCTTTTAACTTGTCGCTCCGCTTCGCCATCGGCACACGTTGCCATTTTTATGGGCTGAGCTTGGCATAGTGATCGGGATCGGGGTTGGGTTCAGGATTTGGATTGGCATTGGGGTCGGGATTAAGACTGGGTCATATCCTGGGCCGCATGCACGTTTTTCTACGCCGCCTTTGGCGTTGCCAGACCAGTTTGATTTTAGTGTCTGGTAGAAACCAAGGGCCAGTAATGATTTTATTACAAGATTTTATATCGAATTTTATTACCTTTGTGCATGACGCTGCTGCTGATGTCGATGACCAAGCAAGAGGAAAGCGCAAGGATTGTGTTGTCGTTGTCCTTACGCCTTTGGCAACTGCCATTGGAATTTACGCACTCATAAAATCGCCCGCTTGAATTGTGTGGGAATTTCGAAGCCAAGTTTCTTGCAATGACCCCGGCCCCGGCCATCATAATTCAATATCATAAAACGTTTATCCAATTAATTTGGACTGGTAATATTTATAGCCAGTTCGTGTAGCGATGCGAGTAGAAGTAGATCTTTAAGTTTGTCGTACTGCATTCGTGCTCTATATATGTCAGGGTTAAGGTAGCATGGACCACGTATGCTTTAGATATAAAATCTTTAAAAGCAATTTTTATTTATGGTACCCACTATAAATGAATCAATAATTGCCAATTTGCACGAATACGTCGTTCTCGAAAAATTCGAATGTATTACGGTATCTGGATGCTCGGTACAGGGTATCCTCTAGTCACCCCTAACTAGAGCAATTTTTTTGAGTATGTCTGCCATACCTAGGTTTCTTTCTTTATAAGACAAACTCGTATTGATCTTGAAAATGTATCCAACAGCTGTTTTTGAGCACGCTTCAATGGATTTGAATGATGACATTTACATGTCTCTCCCTCTCTTTCTCTTTTACTGTCTCTCTCTCTTTCCCCCACTATATATATATGTATTTGTTTAAATATATTGTATTCTGTCGTGCTCTCTTCCGCTGACCTAACCTGGTTAGATTTCCAATTACGATTATGCTGGCGTTTTGCTAATAAGCACATCCCAACACAGACAACCAACCTACATGCAACTGACAATCGAGACAAATCCAAATGGCATTACCGCGTGTTTCTGTTGCTGTTGTTGTTGTTATTGTTGTTGTTGTTACTGATATTTGTTTCAGTGTCAAGTTCAGTTCTCAATGTTGCATGTTGCCCATTTGCTGTTTGCGGCGTTTCAAATGGCTGCATGCCAAATATAATGGGTTTCCCTTGATGAGTTTGCCAGCTAGGCATGCAGATAGAGATAAACACAGCAATAACAACAACAACTAAAGCTACAAGTTATTGTACATACATTTGCGTGTATGTTATAATGCGATGAGCTTTGTGCTCAGTGACTGAGTTATGGCATAGTTTTCCATATTTTAGTTTTGTTTGTTTTTAGATTTTGCAATGACGAACGAAAATGGTTAAAGTGGGAGACTTTGCATTTGGGGCATGCACGCAGCCTCATTAAATGTTCGTCATATGTGGGAAATAGTTTATTATTGTTGCTACCCGAATATTATCGCTGTTGCATGCACGACTTGGGGACAACATTATGGATAGCTTAGTTGACTTTTGGTATGGACCGAGAGGTTGCTTAAGATACGTGAAAGTTGAAAAATAATTAAACTATCAAACTCCTTAAATCTTTAGCGGCTGCTGCCCCATTTCGTTCTACCTAATGTGTAAAAGGTACATTGAATTTGCAGTCTTCTTAAGATCGAGCCAAAAATATTCCGTACAGCTGACGAATTGCAAAAATCGATAATAACTAAGGTTAATTAGCTACTGCTTTGAGGTTAGAGTGAATTCTTTTTGACTGATTTAAGTTTTATACACTTTGAACAGTGTATTCCGCAATCGGTAGCAACAAACTGCAACATTCTTACATAAAAAAGCTTGCATGTCAAGACATTAGTACGTAATACATACGCCTCTCGAATATAAAAATCTGACTATTTGCTTATTGACAGTTGACGGAATGGGATTGATATCTTTGCATTGAGAAACTAACACTTTTCTAGCTATACGGCTAATCTATTTACAGCACGAAATCTGTTTCAGAATGAATGCGATTTATATGGCAATAGTCGCTCTCGATCTCCGCCCTTGTCCGTCAGCTGACGTCAGTTGAGCGTAGAGCGTTTTGAGCGAGCTTCTGAACCGCATCAGATACATGTGTAGATACATCTAAGTAGATGCCACCAGAGCGGGTCTGAGCATACCTGAAGTTCATAGTTAAATGATTTCATTTACTATTTAATTTGCGTTTGAACTTTGCTGCGAATTCGGCTCAGTTTCAGTTCTCGAGCGCACGCCGACTCAGACAAATGCGACCAGCACACGCGAATAGCCGAACATAATCCACTTGAACACCCACTTTATGAGATGTTGGCCCTACGCGTTCTGTGGCTAACTCTGATGGGCGGACATCTGGCCGCAGCGGTCGTGCATCAATCGCTTCAAGATGCGCGACAGGAGCAGCAGCAACTCATACAGCGATACATCAAGACCCTAAATAAGGAGGAAGGCGCAATTCGACTAGTTGGAGGTGACGCGGAATACGAAGGTAGGAGATAATCAGGCTGGAATGCGGAAAACGTAGAGGGTGCCTACCAGAACAGAAATAAACTTAAGTGAACATAACGAACTTAAGAAATAACACAGTCAACTGTTTTTTTAAGGTTTTCATAAACGCCTTCTACGCTTTCAGGTAACATTGAGGTGCTGCACAACAGCAAATGGGGCGCCATTTGCGATGACGAATGGGACGCTGCCGAGGGTGAAATTGTATGCCGCCAGCTGGGTTTTCTCGGGATGCGTCGCTACACCCACAGTGGCTACTTTGGACCCGCTCGGCGCCGCTACTGGATGGACAATTTGTACTGCGAGGGCCACGAGCAGGAGCTTACCGAGTGCCACTTTGACGGCTGGGGTGTTAACGATTGTGAGCCTAGCGAAGCAGCTGGCGTTATATGCATTCCGCCGACAGATGCGGTGCGACCGCCGCTCTCAGCTTTAGCTGACGATCGTCAGCTACCCAAATATCCCATACATCCAAGCTCACGCCTCTATGTTAGGCTGCGTGGTGGTCGCTCCAGGAACGAAGGACGCGTCGAGGTGCGTTTTGATGGCCAGCCCTGGGGCAGCATCTGTGCGGATGGCTGGTCCATGCTGGAAGCGAATGTGGTCTGTCGCCAGCTGCGCCTGGGCTATGCTCGAGACGCTTTCCAAACGGACTATTTTGGCGGCGCCAATGTCTCCCGTCCCATGCTCAGTGGCACTGAGTGTTACGGCAACGAAACGGAGCTGGCGGATTGTCTACACCACAATCATATCCGAGGCATTGTTAGCTGCCATGGAAGCAGACAGCATGTAGCTGCGGTGATTTGTGACTATCTATCGCCCGATTTGGTTGTGGATTATTACGAAATAGAGCAAACGGCTCACTTAGAGGATCGTCCCATGGTGTTGATGCAATGCGCCATGGAGGAGAACTGCGTGTCCAACGAGGCCTACCAAATACAGCGAGACAATCCCAGCTGGCGATATCAAACGCGACGATTGCTTAAGTTCACCGCAGCCGCAATCAATGCCGGCAACACGGACTTTAGGCCCTTCAAGGAGAAGAATCAGTGGGAGTGGCACATGTGTCACATGTAAGTCCGAAGATAGGCTGTGTACAATTTTTTTTATGCTAGTTCGTTTCGATTGTTTTTCAGGCACTACCACAGCATGGAAGTGTTTGCGACCTTTGACATATTCGATTTACAGGGTCACAAGGTTGCACAGGGCCACAAGGCGTCCTTCTGCTTGGAGGACAGCAGTTGCCTACCAGGCGTGTCCAAGAAATACAATTGCGCCAACTTTGGGGATCAAGGTAACACAAACACCAAATAATTTTAAATTAGTTAAAAATACAAATGTTTTAATTAGGAATCTCCGTTAACTGCTCTGATGTTTATCTGTACAATCTGGACTGCCAGTGGGTAGACATAACCGAACTGCCACGGGGCTCCTATATACTTAAGATTGCCATCAATCCAGAGTTCAAGGTGGCCGAGATGAGCTACGACAACAACGCTGCCATTTGCGACCTTTTCTACACCGAAAATTATGCGCGTGTTGACAACTGTCGTCTGGCAAGACCTTAGATCTGCCGAGCTTGGAGTTTTGAACAGTGCCAAATATTATGATTAACCAAAGCGTCAAGCGTAAAGCGTAAATGTTTGTATTATACTAAGTACATACTGTTTTTACTAAAATAAAACTGCACATTTTAAGGTCGTCTTCTAAGTACATATACCAAATAATGAACTTAAGAATCAGTAGACTGTAGAGAAACATGTCAGAGACAACAACGGCATTGTCATCGCCAGCGAAGCATATATCAAGTGCCAATACCTGAGCGTTTATAGATATGGGTGTTGAGCAGGAACTGAAGTGTTGTATTTGATTATAGTTCATCTACTTGTATGAGAGGTACTTTAAATTAATTAATGAATTTTAAATTCAGCTTAACGTATCATTTTTGTAAACTTTAAAGTTTGTTACAAAATAGTAAGATATAAATGTTGAGGCAAATTAGGGTAAAGAGATTACGAATTATGCCAAATATTTTTGCAGTAAACATTCTCGACTACTTCTACTTCTCGACAAATTAACCCTTATAATTTCGACGAGCAAAAACCAATTTAGATATTCCATCTATTCTAATCAACTTTTAAAAATATTTTAATATATTGCAATCAGATGCCTAACGTATTTGGGGTAAGACTGTACATTATAATGTACATTATAAATTCAACTTTAAACTATGGCTAAAAATATAATGAGTTTGTTATAAGAGTTTCTTTTCGAATTTTAACAAACTTTTGACTACAATAATACATGAAGAATGAATAAATTACTGATTGGTCTGATTAGCATGTCTTTGATAGTTGACTTTAACTTCATCTAAGAAAACCCAGCCTTAGACAAAATAATACGAACGAAGCATCAAACTACTCACATAATCAGCTAAGAACATCGCCCATCAATTTCGCTGACAGCCCTAGATCAGAGCCAAGCAATTAATGGCCCAGTGAAGATTCGGACACATCGTTTATTGCTGGGACCAAATCGCCAGCCTTTTTTTTTTTTTTAGCAAGAGATGACTTGATGGATGCACGTGGCAAAAAAATGAAGCAATCAAATGGTCGTAATGTCATCAACACCATCCATAAGTGGACAGGGTGGAAATGGGGCACTGAAACTGTGACAGGAAAGAGGGCAACGATGATGAGTTACTTTGGTCACGAAGCTATTTTTACGCTTGATTACGCGATAAATGAAAATCAAATGTTTGATTGCTTAATGCCTGGCCAGCGTGGGGTCAAAACGCCCAAGCGCCACCCAACCGCCGCACAGCACCACTTCAAAAGTGCTGCAATTTGGCCAAAGTGCCAGCCCAGTGGGATTGGACCGGGTGGCTTTTGCGTTGGTGAACATTTCAATTATTTATATGCTTGTTTGTCTCCTCGGCTCGTGTGAGGGCGGGGACTTGGTCGGTTCATGTGTGCACGTGCGATGCGAGCAGGCGACCACGTTGGAGCGGGGGCGACCGATAACACTTGACTGCGCACCAGTTATCATTTTTTAGCTCCCAGACACGCACGAATCTGCAAATTGCGAGGCTGAAAGAAGCTCAGGGTTAGACTTTGACTGATTTGTTGTTAGTTGAGTGCGTTTAGGACATAGCCAGAGAGAAGACATGGGACATATGGCATTGCCAAGCTCTTGCTGGCTGGCGTTTGCTTACGTTCCAACACCTCTGCATAGATTGATTAATTTATTAATCGCCACCCACGCCACAAATCTTTGCTAAGACCTCAACCCCGCGCATAAGCCGCTTTTGTTAATTAAATTTGAGAAAAAGTTGCTTTTTGAAATAGTTGAGATTCCTTGGCGCAATCAATCAATAGCTGGAATCCTTAACGCTGTTTGTTTATGTTTTGTTTTGACTCCCTCAAAAGTGTTAAGTAGAAACCCATTTACATTTTTGTCTTGCTGCTTTGTGGCATTATTTTAAGGCTAGGTTAAAAGGGTCAAGGGTCGCTGGTCGGGGGTCGCCTGGCGAAATTGTTTTGTGTTTATTGATGAGCTAGGTCAGCTGCCAGACAGCACTTTAAAACGAGTTGTGTAATCAGTGACAAAGAGTTGAATAAGATAAATGTCCGCTAAGAATTATTAGGACAAAGGGCGTGCAGTAATTAAGGCAGTTTTCTAAACAACTCCTTGGTGATTCGATAAACTTACTCTTTACTTTACTCTTACTTTAAAATTATATTGTGGTCCGATATCAACAAAGTTATTCCAAAGTATTAAAACATTTAGTCTTTAAAAACTTCTTTATTCATTTATGAATATTTAAAAGCAAACGAGATTATTATAGAAAGACCATGCTTTTTTGGAACTTTATAAAATCTTGATCTTGAGCTGCAGCAAGCACTCGTGTCAAGTTCTATCAAAATTTAATTAAATATTATTACACTCTCCTCTTTTCCTTACTAAAAAATGGAAATAAAAGGTATCTGCCTTTATATAATGTTCTCAACCAATAATCTGAACAATTGTTAAACAATTCATTAACCCTCAATTGGAGCTACAGGCAATTGATTAAAGCCCGGGCCAGCAGCAGCTTATCGACCATTTCCTGGGTATTTTGCTTGGCCTCCATTTACGGAATGCTCACAAAATGCTGGCAAGTTGGCAAATCAAATAGGAAGAATGCTGGGCAAAACTGCTCACAGGCAGGCGGAAGGCAGCAAATTGTTATTTCAATTGTCAACAGCAATGCAGAGGTTCTGAGGGCGTGGCACTGACCACCCAACATTCTGTATGCAGTTAATTTTGTGCTTTGCCTGCAATAAATTTTAAATGCACATTTCAAATGTAGAAGCAACAACATCGACAACGAAATGAAACGAAACGGAAAACAATTTTCTGCAATTTCACTAAAACGACACAGAGGAGCACACATGACACACATATGGACTGCTGGGGAGTGGGTCTGCTTCTAGTCCTGCGAACTGCAACGACCAACGAATGCAATCGAAGTGTCCTTGGCAACCCGACAGCGCCGACAAATGAAATTGTTGACCAAAGTGCAGCGTTTAAGAAAATCGCACACATACAGAGAGACATTGTATGTATATGTATCTGAAGGTTTTCCATATGGCCAATGCATTTTCCTTGCACTTCAATGGAACTCTCATTGTCCAGATTCCTATTATTGTTGCTTATATGCTCTATCTTATTGTTCTCTACGGGGTATATTAAACTTTGAATATGTTATTTAACTGAGAGAAATTCTGGAGTAGCTATTAATTTTTTTATGTACGAAGCGCTATATGGGACAATTCTTACTTCAATTGATTAATTCCTGTTTTCTGTTTCTATTGACCACGGTTGCAGGGTATATTCCAGTCAATCACCTCCACTTAGCGTATTCTTGCTTATATTGTTATTGCTTTTATGACAGTTTTAAGGCATTTTTATGTGTGTAAATATGGTTTAAATTTTATTTGTTGGCTCTTAAGAGATTGCCAGCAGCTTTTGTTATGCCAACAAATGCAAATTGCAATTGTTATGCAAGTCGCATGTTGCATGTTGAGCTCGATGCTGGCAATATTTTAGAGTAGTTTCTGCATTGTTGCAGCCTCAGGGAAAACTGAAAACATGAGTGCAGTCCAAATATGCTCGGATATTATTTATGTGGTCAACATAGTTTTATCGTTAAGTATTCTGAAAGGTGTTGATACTGATGCAAATATAATTTTAAATTCTTTTTTTTTCAGAATTGTCAAATGGTTACAAAATAAGAGTAGAATTATTCCTGTATTTGAAGTATCTCGATGTGGAAAAACAAACCAACAAAAGAGGAGCATACCAATGTGCACATCGATTAACTTTACAATAATTATGCAGGTAAGTAATATGATATGTGTGTTTGATAAGCTTCAAAAAGACATTTCATTAATGTTACCGTTGTTGTTCTTGAAGTTGCTGTCACACATATGAAAGCATTTGCATTTAAAAGTCGTCTAATTGCGAATAAACTCATTAGAGAACAGCGACATTGGCTCTAAGGGGGAAACCGGCGAAACGCGTAACGAAGCCCGCACAAATTGGGCAACATTTGGTGGCATCTTTTGCCAAATTGAATGCGGCAGGCAATCCACCCCGCCACCAAAGCGAACCCCTAACACAGTTTGGCGAACATTTGGCTTGTTATCATTTTCATGGTTGAAGCGACACATGAAAATACCGAAAGAGTTAGGAAAAAAGACGGGGGATGCTGAGTAGGGCAGGGGTATTGTTGGCTCATTTTTGTGCCCGGCTCTGTCTGTCAGGCAGTCAGCTTAACATTTGTTTTAATTATTATAAAAGCAAATTGCATAATTAAAAATGTTAAATGCATTTTCATTTTTAATTACAATTAATTTTATGCAGCTTACAAGATTGGAGGGCTGTGCCAACAGTTTTTGCACAGAATTTTTACGGCAAATTAAAACGGAAGTCGATTAATTGCTGATATGTAAATGCACTAGTATGGTAATTGGTTAATTGGACACTCAACACTATGGATCATTTCACCGGTGTATCGCTCCGTATTTGATTAAAAACTATAAGATGTAAAATTTATAAACTTCTTACTGATTTTTATGCTTAGAAATAATTTTACTTGATTACCCTTACTTGCCTGAAATACCATCTTCGGTTCTTCCCTACGCACCCTGGTAAACCACTCTCTTCATCATAATCCAATTTTATTAGGTGAAGGCAATATTATGCAGAGTGGAATCATACTTTTCAGCTCGTATCGTATAGCATTGACAAAACAACGTTCGCCAAGGGAAATATATTGCAGAAATTAGAAGAATCTATACAAAAATGTTACTCAAAATGTCAGGGTAAGATAAATAAGACAACAGGCTACATTTATAACCTTTCTAAAGATAAATTATATAAATTAGTCAAAGCCTTCCCCGACATCAGTTGCCTTCTAGGCATATACAAAATCAAGCTACAATCATTGTCATATCATATCATTTACAAGCATTTCTGCGACACTTTTCAAATGTCAGCACTTCAGAGACTTTGTTTTGTACTTTGACTTCTGCCTGTGGCAACAAAACTCGCAAAGCTACGCACATTTCCTGCCCACTTCTGATTGCCGAAAAACTTTATACTCCCTGCCATGCCCCTTGCCAGCACTTTATTCAACCACTTGACACACTTAAACGCACTTATCAAACCGCGCAAAAAGTCAAACGCATTGAAACGCGACAACCAGTAATGAGAAGCAGTCAGAGACAGACTCGAAATGGCAAACAGCACCAATGGGACCAATATATCAAAAATCAACAGCTGCAAAAAGAGAAATAAAAAATGTTTCCTCCCCCGAACGCCTACCGCCCCACCCACTACTAGACACATGTGGCAAAAGATAAACACAAGAAGAAAAATTCTAAAATCGAAAAAAATAAACGCGAGAAAATCTTTCATACTGGCAGCATGCGGCATTAAGCGTGGCAGAAGCGCCCGATAAAGATGCAAATGCCGCAAGCAGCGCTGCCAGCGGCGACCGCAACAAATTTTGCTCGCATATCTTGCGGGGACCTCCGGATATACGAGTATGAGGGAACAATCTTAATTGCGGGTCAAGAGCCATGCCAAAAAAAGCCAGAAAAATGTTTTTAAAAAGCGGCGGTGACAAAATAAAGGCCAACATGGAAGTTGAGATAAAATGCGGGTTAACACAATCTACATAGATGTCTGAATAGGTTTGTAAATGCCCTGTATATGTCAAGGAATTTAGAATTTTGATTTGTTAACAAATAAATTATTCCTTTAGTTAGACAATTTATCGAATAGCTTTTTAAGAGCTTTCCATCATTCGGGAATCGAAACTAAGGATTTAGTATTACAAAAATTGTTCTTTTAGTTCTGCAAGCAAATATTAGACATTCAAATTTGTTTCTATACTATTTTAGAGATGTTTTAAAACTAGACACTATCGATCACAATCTCTAAATGTCACCTGCTATACTGCTATGGATAGTTCGTGATTGGAATTTGCCTGCTATTTTTCAGCGTGACCATCAATAAATTTGTAAAACGTAGATCATCAACCATTTTCGAATATCTTAGCTGCCGCAAAAGAAATTTAAACTCAGTTGATCTCTAGCTTGTCGCCTCTAACCTTCGCTTGGTGAGCACACACACTTCAAACGGCCAATCAAGGAGCACAACCTACACTCTCCGCTACAAGCCCATTTTTGTATACGAAACTCTTCACACATGACAGATTAGACAGCCTGGGGCGAAACCTTGAAACGAAACTGAAAACGGTTCCACGGTAACCACGAAACAGATACAAATCCAGCAGATACATGGCACACGCCCTTAAGACACAATTTTCGCTTTGTTAGACGCTACAAAAATACTGGTGGAATGTGACAAAAATATATTTGGACCCAAGGCAAGCAGAGAGCGGGCTTAGACGTGGGCGTGGCACACAAACCAACAAACATTTTAAAATGACAAACTTTCTAGGCAGCGGTTGGGGCGCAGGGGCTGCTCTATGCCAAAACGCTTTCGCATTGTAACCCAACTCGGCAACTTTGAGCTGGCAAAAAAGTTTTCAGCACGCATACGCCGCGTTGCCGTCACCGCATTCTGCTGCATACTTTTTGGCGCTTGGCATCGCGGTTGGGAAACGAGTCTGAACGGGAGCGCTGCGGGCGTTGCGGGCTGCTTGTTATTTTTCGCTGCCGGCACTCGCCTTATGAATTATTTGAATTTTATGCGACAAATCACCTGCAAAATATAAATTCCTAGCAACGAGCGACATCTGCTCGCCTCCGACTCGACCGGAAATCAGAGTTGTGGATTGGGGTTGGGGTCTACGGCACGTGAGCACGCACCAAGAGACAGCGCCACGTTACACCGTTAATCGTTCGTTAATCTGTCGTAAAATTTTCGTTGCAAATCCTGGCGTTAAGTTAAGTGGATGTCTGACAATCGCCGCCGCCAGTCGCATTTCGCATTTCGCCTGTGGAGTTTTCATTTCTTACTTTTACGTTGGCGATGCCCGTAAACTTTTTAATCGAAAAATGATGTGACCCCTCCCCACCACAAACAGCCATATCTTATTCCTGTTGCCCACCCATGTAGCTTTGTAATTAAGTGCGGGGCGTGCTGCGTCATAAGGAGCATTTGAGGTGCCAGCGGGTGGTGAGAATCGAATTTGCTCTTCGAGTTTTTTAAATATTCGCCGCTGGCTACGATATAAAATGAGCAGCACACCTTGGGGTACAGAACTTCTAATTATAACAATGAATCAGCAATGACACTGTGTAAAAGTTTGAAGAATTTTGATATTCAAAAACCGTTTGAAGGTTAGCACATGCTCGAACTTAAGAGTAAAAATGTTGGAAAAACAACTGGCTTTTATTTGGCATTCTGGGGTTCGGTCACAGATCCGCCTAATTTTATCAGCTATAAGGACTTGCAAGTCAAGTTGGCATCAAATGTATTTTCTCCAGCAAAATTCATATAGGTATGTTAAATTCCTAAATATTGCAGCAATTTATAAGAAAATATGTTACAGGTAAGCTTAGTGCCTTTATAATTCCTCTGCACTGGCATAGTCCAACTTTTAAGAGGAGGAAAAGACAACAGCAGGCTCCAATGCCTTTTCAAATTAATTGTAGACAGCAAATGTCGTGTAACTCAAAGATAAACGTTTCTCGAAAAGTCGCTTGCATTTTGCTCCCCTGTCTGCGCACATCTCACGCTGCCCCCTCTCCACTCACTCGATCCATCCCTCTCTTATGCAATACCTTCAAAGCTAGCACAAATCTTTGCCCCCATGAGCCATGAAAAAAAAAAACAAAACAAAAAAATAAATAAAACAAAAACTTTTGCTAAATGCTGGCAGTAGAGACAATTGTACAAGTTCAACATTTGTCACACGTACTAAGCATTTACGCAAGACATGAGAAAAAAATAAGGAAAGAAAAAAGAAAATGACATGGCATGGAAATTAACAAAGAAACATCAACATCAAGTCAAATTGTTGCTCTTGCAGCCCGCATATGAAGCAGCTGGCTGAAGGGCGAGAGGCCTGGGGATCAACGCAGACAAAAGCAAAGCTGCTCTGGATATAGTTGTCGTCAATTTAAACAGCTCAAAGACACGCAGCAGAAGAGGCAGCGGGTCGACATGTCGGGGCGCAGACAGAGTCCCAAGTAAATGCAACTTGAACACTAGAAATATTTGGACTCGTCCATGTCCGCACACTTACCGTATTCTATTTGATTGTATGTATGCTCAAGTCTTCAAAAATATTCGTACCGTATGTCTAGGTCTCGAAGTCTATGGCTATGACTTCTCTCGAAGCTGTCACATTTGATACGCCCGTGAAGAAGACGACGACCGACGATGACGACGACATGAACTGAAGGGACTTGCAGCAACATGAGAAACATTTTTGTGTTGATGATGCAGGAGCAGCATCTAAGACTCGGGGATTTGCCAAGGCATGGGGCACGACGTTGACTTTGTAGCATGTTGCGGGAGGAGAGCATGTGCAATGAAAACACTGAGAAAAATACAATGTAATAAACAAAATTAAATCGACTAAAGCCATAAATATAATAAATGTTAAAATAGATAGCTATAGTTAGGAGTTAACAAAATTGGTTATAAGAAAGTTATAAAAAAAACCTAGTAAACAGTTTTTAAAATAAATTTATTTTGTTCGAAATGGCGGTAGTAAAAGTAGAAAAAAGTAACGTCTGTTTAAAAGTAGAAAATTATATATTAAATAAATATAACGTATATATATAATACCTTTAATCTTTTTATAAATTATATATGTTGTTGATTTTAAAAAATTTATTATAAATAATGCATATCTTTTACTTTTTACTTTGACTTTTGGCCCAGTGCTGCCCAAATACAAAAAAAAATTAATGTGCATAGGTATACAAAACGCAAACATAATTAAACTTGCCACACCCATTTCGCTAGGCGAAATGTGCCACGTTCTCACATCTGAGAGTGTGACTATGACTCTGAGTGCCCCTCGTTTGTGTGTTTTATTGTGTCTGTCTGCCGCACAGAAATAAAACCAAATTTGTCACAATGCGCAAAGAATATGGGCACTGTGGGGCAAATACTATCTATATGGGCACTGGGGCTCTGACGAGCTACTCATATTTGGCAACTTATGAAACACGCAGCTTGGCCGTCGACTTTGTCGCCTGCCGTTGACAATTATGGCATGCAACTGAATTTTTATGGCTACGAAATTAGCCCAGAACTGTTTAAGT